CTGGATTTCATCACATTTCTGCCAGAGGAGATTGCAATTAATGTGTCCCTAAGCTGCAGGCTGGCATGACAGGATTCTACACCCCTTCTGTGGGAGTGCTGTCTTTCCTCACAAAATCATTAACAACCCACTGGATGAAAGAAAGAGAGCATGAGCAAGTCCAGCTTTTGAACTTGAAAGTCATGCTCAAGCTGTGGAACAATGTGTGCTCTGCATTAAGCATGCTGAGATAAAACACACATTAAACAAAAAGCCTTTGGTGTAAGAGTTGGCACCTAGGTGTCTCTTCTGGAGGAACCAGCACACCAAAAAGGGAATTCTACTCCAAGAACACTGTCATTCATTGCTGCACACTGGGTTGGTTCTAGGCTTTCATATACTCCTTAATGCAAATCTTCAATGAAAAAACATTCCAACAGAACTTTTCCATCCTGTACCTAACTTCAATTAAAAATTGTATTTTTCAGTAAGTAAAGGGGACTTATAGAAAAGAATAATAAAAACTGTTGAACATCCAAATTCCATTTTTACTACCTGCTTGGTAATATTTACTTTTATGGAAAAAAACATAAAAAATTGTTGCCTTACTCTCTATTCAACCATGCACGAAGTATTAGAAATGCTACAGTCAATTTTAGATTGGCATTAGAATAATTGGTTTTTCCAATGGAAAATTCTAACTTCACTACTTGTGCTCTTACAACTTTGCTAGTGTCCTAGGTTGACTATATGATGCTTTTATCCTTAATTGTCTTGTTCTGTTTATGCTGAGTAATAAGTTTTGTACCTTTAAAATCCAGCTAGGTATCACATTATTACAGGATAAAGAATTACATGCAAAGACTAAATACAGGGATGTTACCAAAATGAGTTTCAGAATCATTCAGTTATTTTGGAATGTAAGTATTCCTCTTTGGGGATTTCCATCACTGCTGCAAACACATGCACAACACATGTAGGGGGTTTTTGTTTGGATGGAGTTAATTTTCTTCATAGCAGCTCCTGCTGTGCTATGTTTGCATTTGTGAACAAAATAGTGTTTGTGATGACAGGTTATCAGTAAGCAGTGTTTACAAAGCTTCAAGATCTTTTCTGCCTCTCCCCCCATGGCACCAGGGCACAGTCTGGGGGTGCACAGCCAGAACTGACACCCACCAAGCCAAGGGAAACCCCAGACCATCCTGCTCAGCAAGAAAAGCTGGGGCAGCAAGGGGGGTCTCAGCTGCCTCCTGGGGCTAACCCACAACAACAATAATATAAATATTTATATGTATACGTGTATATATTTGAATTGGATACTCCAGATCTTTCTAACTTCATGCTCTATTGACATTGCAAAAATGAAGCAGCTTTGCAGAGCCAGTAAAGGTGGATTAAATATGATTTGAAGATGTTATATTAGATTGCAGAAGATAGAGTGCACTGCATCAGAGTTGTTTTTTTAATATGCAATCAAAAAGCTGCTGTCATCAGGCCTCAGCTTTAATCCTAACATTTTATTCAGCATTAATTCCTAAGAGGTTCTGACTGTGATGACAATGATAAAGAATTAAACTGTCATGGCAGTTTACAGGCTCTCCACACTTTATGCATTCACAATGCATTTCTCAAAAGCTTTTCATACTTTGATTTTCAATCAGCAATTCCACAATAACAGGTACCTTACTAAAGTGTTCAGTCCCACAGCTGATGATAGAAATGAAAGAGATTTCACATCAGAAGTTCACATAAAACAGGAAATGAACACCAAACTTACTTGCTCAGCATTTATAACAATATCCACTTCATTTTTATCAATAAATCTAACAGTAACTCAGAAAAAAACATTTTAGTTACATAAAAAATCATGTTATGTTCATTTTCCTTCTGGAATCAAAAGCATGCTAAGCATTATTTTACAGTTAAAAGATTTCAATTGATACTTGCTAAAAAGTCAACAGACAATTTACTGTCCGCCCACAAATGGCTCAACTTTAAGAGTGAGACAAAGTAAGACTATTTTTGTCCAGGAGGAATCCAGTATCTTGCTGAAAATTGTAAAGGCATTATTAGGTCCAAGATAGTGCCTAAAATTTTGTTTTATAAAGCTTTTAATTCCTAGTGAGCTGAAAAAATTTGCCATGAACAAATATTTGTATAAACATATTTCATGGCTTGGAATGTTCTTTGATGACTCATATTTCAAAATATTACTTCTAGTTCATTTACCACCTTTAAGAGCCACAAAAGCTATTTACACAGAAGAATACTAAATAGCTAGGATTCCTTTACTTTCAAAATAGCTTCTGTAAAATTATTAGAGGCATAAGAAAACCGTAACAGCATATGATTTTTAATCTATATTAAATAATTAAAACACCAGTAGTGGACAAAAACAGTGTTCAAGCTTTGCTTCCTAAGCTCACCCCAAAGGACTGTATTTAACATCACAACTAAAATTGCCATGCAAAGATACTGGGTTGACATACAGAAAACCAGAATTGTTTTATGCAATACAAACATCCCTCACACTTCCAGCACAATGACTGTTCCAGCAGTGTCTCCTGGTGCTAGATGCTCAAGATGAAGGAAGAAGCTTGGTGTGTGCTCACTGTGCTTTCCTTTCTTTATCACTGCTGTACTGAGCAATGGGAAAGGACACAGACTCGAGGGGATTACAGAGCTGAGGTCCCTAAAGCACTGCCTCTTCCAAATAAAGCATTTTCTGCTCTCTGCACACAGGGCCCAGAATCAGTAACTCAGCTTGAAAAACGTCAGTGCTTAATGCAAATTTCAGTGAAAAGTACTGCAAGATTTGCCCCAGGAAGCATCTTTGGATACTTCTATGAGGAAATGAAGTGTTTTCCAAACAGGAGATATGTACACACTCTCCAGGAGAATTATATCAACTGTCAGTGCTCCTGACTCACACCTCAACTACAGCTGAAATCTTGATGCACCTTTAAAAATCTTAGTCACTGAATTGACCTATTTGTTCTTCAGTCTGTATCCAAATCCACAAATAATCTTGCAGAAACTTGAATTGGGAAGTCTACACAGCACAAATGTTCATATCCTATGGACAGCTAAGCTTTTAAATTCAGTTGACCCTTGAGTGTGGTTTATAGGAAAGACTAACCAATGAATCATCTGATTTAAATGAAAATCAGCTTACTGTTTTCTAAACACTTGCTCTAAGGATGACCCTATGCTTCCAAAACATAATTTGATGAAATCCAGACACAAGCATGTTTTTTCTCCTGTCCTCTGGGCTGCTGTGATTACCATAAAAAAGACTTCCTAATCCCATTGAGAACAGAAGACAGTTGTTAACCAGTAAAACCACAAAGTTCCAAGGAAAACCCAAATCAGTAGAAATTTATGGAAACTGAAGGAGGTGGTAGGGGTAGTGAGGAGGAGACAGAAGGAAAACTTGTGGTTCTGAACTTGAACTATTTTAAGAGGCAGACCAACTCTTTCAAGCCAAGAATAGTCACAGACACACAGAATTTAATTTTCATTTAAATTTCATTTTGGAAGAGGAAAATGGAATTGTGTGTGCTGAATAATAAATCTACTTTTTCCTGTGTACTTTAATTAGTAATATAAACCATAAGAAATTAATAGAGCAGGATAGGTTCTGCAGTGGGCTTCTGCCAGTTACCCAACCAGCATTAAGACTAAGATTAATTAGGTTAGATCCAAATATATGTTATTCTAGTGGTTCTAGGCTGAACTTGAAGGAGTTCTAAAATCATGGAAACAAATGTAGGAGGTCTGCCCACCCAACCCAGCTAGTGCTGTTGTGATATTTTGGGTGAATGTTCATCTGCTTTTGCTCAGAAGCAGAAGTCAATGCAGTGAGCAGCTGGAATTGCTGCAGACCATGGGACTATGAACACAGGAACTGCCAGGGCTGGACACACCCTGGGCTCCCAAGGGCTCCCACTGTCACTGGCATATTGTCTGAAAAATCCCCTTGCCCAAAATTCTTCTCCTGGGAATCTGAGAAGCCTCAGAGAAAAAGGAAAACAATAATTATCTTGTTTGCTTCTCCTATGTTTTGCTACTTTGGAATGTGGTTGGAGATTGTTTATCCAACATGTGAATTGTTTTGACTTAATGACCAATCACAGTCCAGCTGGGTCAGGACTCTAGGAGGAGTCACAAGTTTTTCATTATCATTCTTTGTAGCCTTCTGTCTGTATCCTTTCTCTATTCCTCAGTATAGTTTTAGTATAGCATTCTTTAATATAATATAGATCATGAAATGATAATTTTGCCTTCTAGAAACATAGAGTCAGATTCATCATTTCCTTCCTGCCACAGGGAACCCCAAAAACACCACACTCCCTTTGCTGCCACCCAGGGCACGTGCTCACCTGCTGTGACACAGCCCCATGGAGATCACCAATCTGTTTCTGACCCTGGACCCAGGCACTCTTTCAAGAGAACTTAAAGGCCTTTGATCCCACCCAGAAATTAATTACCAACTGAAGGAATTCCCAATTGCTAACTGTGCTCCACTGAGAATTCCCTCCATCTGGCCCCATACCTCAAAATTTCCCCTCCTAAACCATATCCTCTGGTAAATACTCCTTGCCTGCCCCTGCTGATATTTAACTAAATCCTCCTTCTGGCTCTACCTGGTGTACAAAGCATTGCACACAGTCAAGATGTACACTTACCCAAAAACGTTTGGGCACTGAACCTGGGAAATCTGAGTGCACTGAAGACCAAAACCCCAGCTACCATCAGCAGAAGGCTACTGCACAAGATGCACACCCACTGTCAGCTTTGTGACTACTCAGAAAACAAATGCCTTTGTACCCTACAGAAAAGAAAAATCACTCTTGAAAAAAATGTTCAGCTGCTTTGGCATGTTTTTATAATTTTCAATTAAAGCAGCCATTTATTTAGCAAACTGAAAACATGGATGGCCAAACAGACTGAGTAAATTTTACACAGGCTTACTTAAGCATGGCATGCACTAGATTATTTCCAGCCAAAGCAATATTTACCTCTTCTCTCTTTTTTAGGACCCATTCCTTGTGTTTCTCTTCAGCTATCCTTTTTCTTCTTTCCCATTCTTGATTTTGCTTCATTTCCTCAAGCTGTTTATTCACTTCCTAATTAGAAAAAGAGTATATATTTCAAAGCTGTGGTGACCACTTACAGCAATACTGGCAGTAGTGCTGCAGTGAAAACAATGTTAGCATTAGATTTTGGTATATTTTTCTTCATTAAGATTCTGGAAAAGAAGAATGGCAGTCAACACAGAAATACTATGAAATACAATTAATGAAAATCCATAATTTTTAGGGTATTAACTGGAAATACATATTTTAATTAGGCTTTGGAAGCAATTAAATGCATCAAATCATTCCTCAGTTTATTGAAATGCTTTTTTAGTCAGTAGACTCTTAATTTGCAGCAGTACTTTCCTACAATATTCAAAATTTAGCCTGTGTACTGCTCTGCACTGTGGATGGTATGAAAAGCAAAGCAAAATATTATCCACCTGTGATTTTTAGTACCGGAACTACTAGAACTTTAGGGCTTAACCTAAGGCTTACTAAAGCCAAAATTATTGTAGATTCTAGCAAATTTTCAAACAGGAGTTTTAATTTGAGAGAAGAAATTTTCCAAGTATATTTATATGACATACAGTATATATGCAACCATTTGTATCTCTCCAGTGAAATTAATAAAGACAAAACATAACTAAGGAGACAATTGAGATGTCCACCTTCTCCAACAGTAACATTAACACAAAGTATTAATTTTCAATGAAAATTCATACCTTCAAACACAGAGAGATGGAATTATTTCCATGAAATTGATTTTTATGGTGCCTACATTGCAGTCAGAGACAGCCCCCTTTCTTATGACATAGAATTTCAGTTTAGTAGGACATCAACAGAAGCTTACAGAAAACTCAAACACCCACAATAGAGACACAATTTCAAAATACAGTTATTGTTGTATTCAGGCAAAGTTACCCCAAACAACATCTCTTTTGAGTTCCAAGACACCTGTATTGCAGTGATCCTGGTTGCTGTAAAAGCTGATTGCCACTGTCATATTTTCTGAAAAATTCCTTCACCAGGAGTTCTTCTCCTGGGAAGCTGAGAAGCCTCAGAGAAAAAGGAAAATAATATCATCTCATTTGCTTCTCCTGTTTTGCTGCTTTGGAATGTGGTTTGGAGACTGTTTATCCAACATGTGAATTGTTTTTACTTAATGACCAAGTGCTGGGACTTGGGAAGAGTTCACGGGTTTTTCATTAGTATCTTGTTAAACCTTCTGTAAGTATCCTTTCTGTATTCTTCAGTATAGTTTCAGTATAGCATTCTGTCATATATAATACCATAAAATAATAAATTAGCCTTCTAAGAACATGGAGTCACATACTCAATTCTTCCCTCATCCTTGGGACCCTGAAAATACCACAGCTGATGACACTCTGAGCACCTTACAAGACTCAACCTAATTGCACTCCAAATGTTTATCCACCTTTTTGACATGCAGGGCAGACTTAGTACTAATGTCAGCAAAAGATCCGAAACCTCACTGTTGTTTCTCAGGATATCAGTTTAGAATACTTTTATAATGCAAACAGAGCAATATTTTTTGGTATAAACATCACACATTTAATTCTCTTCTGGCATCTTACAAAAATGTTGATTATATCACACTGTCTTGCTGCAGTTTAACATCTAATGTTTTCAAAATCTTACAAATGATATGGCTGTTTTCTACATTGCCTTAAGTAATGCTTGTTCTACGGCTGTTCTTAATACTGAGTTGAGAGACATCTGCTAGCTTACATTTCCATTGCCAATCCAGGATATAAATGGGAAGTCATGAAACGTTTGGTGCATGTGGATTAACAGATCAAAGCATATTCCTCAAGCTTAACAAACTCCTTTGGAGTACTGCTGGCCTGTAAAATTCTGTTCCTGAACCTTCCAGTGGTAGGTGTTCTATAAACAACATGAGGTAGCCAACATAAAACTTTACAGAGAATCCCAGAAAGGCTAGGAAAAAATTCAAGTTCAAATAGTTACTCAGTAACTGAAGTGAGAAATTATCTAATTTTGATGTGATTGTTCTAATTACTACCCAATACTTCCCATTTGATTTTCTACAACGGTATCATTTAATCAACTGCAACTACAAACAGAGTAATCAGGAAAAGACAGGGTACTCTCACTTAGTTGTGTCCCAGCCCTGGTTCTCAAGAACTGTTCATCTACAAGGGGGAAAAAGATAGAATGAGGGAAAAAAATGCAGCAACAGGGATCCCTTTCCTGGGAAAGGACACCAAAGAGTTGTAAAGTTACGTGCTGAGTGGGTAACAACATTGTTCCTCAAAACTAACTGAGTAGCTGGGCATTCTTACAATCAGCACACACCTCATTTTCTTCTACAACCTACATGCAAGCCTATGTACCCATGATGCAAATTAAGGCAGTAATTATATAAATGTTTTAATCTTCTAACATGGAACCATTACCTGACAACTGGATAAACAAAATATTATACAGCACCAGTTCAATGAAGTACAACATGCAGCAAAAGAAAATGCACATGACATGACTCACACCAGCACTGACAAACACAAACACTATGGAGGCCTAAAACACTGCAAAAAACAAAAGGAAAAAAAACAACTACTTGTGTTTCTACAACCAAGGAAAAGAAAATCCTGTGTCTGCTCTCTTCTGCTGGACTCAGACTCAGAAGAGCTGGATGTCATCACCTCTGCAGCCTGAGCCTGCAGGCGGGCACGCAGCTCCTTCTCTTTGCCAATGAACCACTCTTCCCATGGTGAAAGGTTATCTTTCCAAGGTGACACTTTTCTCTCCTCTGCTGTTTCAGAGTGTTCAGCCCTCCTGAATTAAAAACAAGAAACAGAAGAGAGTATTATCTATAATGTATTTGATTGAAAAGTTAAAGTGCTACTGTCTTGAAAAAGTACTTTTCTTTCATGGCATAATGTGACAACAATGACAATTTTTCTACTTGTTTAGTAATCTCCCTAATGGATAAATGGCATTTATAATGCACCTCTGACCACCCTCCTTACAGTCTACATTCCTCCTGCTAAACTCTAAACTGTGGAACAGATTCAAACATTACCTTTTAGGAACTAAACTAAAAGAATACCCGTAACATCAAAGTGTCACTTTGCTTCTCACAGATGGAAGCCAAGGAAAAACAGAGATTTAACATTAAAATCCTGTCTGTGGTCACAAGATGCTCCATGCATCCAGTGGTCTTTAGCAGAAGCAAAGCAAAAGCAGAGAATGTTATTTTCTTTGTTCAACTCTTACACCAGTGAATTTATGGTATCAAGCAACCTCAGCATTTAGAGTCCATTCATTATGAATCCATCTGTTCAATCCAGGAAGTTTTCCACATTAAAACACTTTCACAGGAAATGTGCTTAAGAAATACAGCCAGCATACAACACTTGATGGTATTATACAAGGTTCAATTAGACTTTTAATAGGATACCTTATGCAAGTCACTCATGAATAACACAGCATTCCTAGCCCCAGGTCACAAGTATCTTTTATAAGATTCTATACATGTACTATTTCATAAGTAACACAGTATATTAGGGTCCAAGTCAGCAAAATTTGAAAACAGGTAAAGAAATTTCTTTAAAAGATTGCTTCTACCTGCCACAGTGTGGAAGGGGTTAGCAGCAGGCCTGTTAGCTAAAGGAGCAAGAAGTAAGAAGAAGAAGCTGATAAGGAGCTTTCTCCAAGGCCGTAACCAAGGAGATCGAGAGAAGAAAGATAAGAGCATTCTGCAGCTGGATGAAGCATTTTTAGTAAGTTAGGTGGAGTCATTATAACTTTTCACCAATAGCATGGTATTGATTTATTGTGGCCAATAGTTAAGGTAAAAGAAGGGTAAACAACTGGAAAGTGTATAGAAGATCAGCCATTTTCACTAATAAAGTGTTGCCAACTGAGACTGCTTGCGGTCTCTGCTTTGTGTCGTGACTGCCTCGACTGCGACACCACAGAATTTTTTTCTTGAGAACAAAGCAATGAAACTAGACTTTACTATTTCCTATGGGTGTACAGGCTCTGGAAATACCTACCTACATACATATTCCACTACAGTGAGGAATTCTGTTTGCTGAACCTAAGCTACACAAGAAGCATCCAACAAGCATATTAGGCTAATGCTGCAGAAATAAAATTTGTAAATGTAAGGCATCTGTATTTTATCAATCTAAAAGTACAATATATTGATGACACAGCTGTACTCCAACACTCAACTGCACAACATTTTCTGTCCCACTCATCTTCAGAGTACATTTCTGTGCTAGAAAGCATCTGGGGACAAAGTCAGTGTTACAGAGTGTGTCCTACTGTTCCCTGTTGTTTTACCCATGTATGTTTGCACTAACAGGATTTTGCTGGTCAGCTCAGGGTGACTGATTCACACTGAAACTACCTGGAGCAGATTTATTTCCCCAGACAAACCCACTTTTATGGTGTGAAATGCAAAATAACACTGACAACCCTGTCAGTGCAAGGACAGAAGCAGCACAGACCAAATACTCATCAGCCCCACACACTCTGCTGCACTCCAGGGCTTTTATGCTGCATCATTAATAAAGACCAAAAATTTAACAGAGGCAGCTCTTACACACATACATATAATAAGAGATGCCACTTAAGAATGCCTAATAACGCATTTTGTAAGAAAATAAATCTCTGAAAGTTCATTAAAGAACAAAAGTATTATACATTCACATACAGGAAAAAGCCCCATAACTTTGTACAGACTTGACATTTTGGGCAGGGACATTTCCTCAATACATTCTTTTGCTTTGTGTGATTTGCATTATGGCACCTAGTGGAACACAACTGACAAATTAAACCATCTGTAGAAAAGGTACAAATAGGAGAACAAATAAATTAGGAAAAATAAGATTTATTATGTCTTTTCTTGTATCAGTACTCATGAAATTCAGGCTGTCAACTTCTCAAAAAAAGTTATTCACAGTAACAGATTAAAAACTTACTGCAGACAAGTAAGAAATAACACAAAATGGAACTTAAACAGAGGAAAACACAAGCTCAGTATTAAGACCTGTTAGGAGAAACACTTCTCCAATACTGTGTCTAAAGCTCTCCAATTGCACCAGAACCCAGAACACCTTCCTTGGTGCGCATTGCAGCCACCAGTCACACTCACCTGGCACATCAACTATGCATTTTAAACCTCACACACCTTGAATTTCACAGGACCATTTTCTGAAATTCTAGCAGTTATGAACTTCTTCAAAATAATCAAAGTAATAAACTTCTTAAAATAACCCATGCTCAAGTGCTTACTTACATTTACCTGTAAGTAAGTATCTTAAATCAAACTAGACACATTTGGCATTAGACCTAAGTCTGATTAACAGTGAACAATGATTATCAGTTGCTGTATATTCACTAAGGTGACACATCAAACATAACACTGGATCCACAAACGAAAGCATGAAAATGCCTAACAGCATTAACAAGGCCTTGCTTTTACCCTTTCTTTTTTGCAAATATTGCATTTCCCACATGGAGTAGCTGCTTCCAGCTAATTTTTGTGTTGTTTTTAGAGGAAACAGCAACAACATTCAGAGTGCATGAATACATGGGGAACTGAATAAGAAAGAGTTTTTCATTATTATAATTCTGGTACCTTGGTAGCTACAGACAGAAGCTGCCATATGAACACAAGGTAGGCACTTGGTGCAGCACAGCAGTAGTGTTACCCAGCAGCACAGGGTATATTTAGCCCACTGTTTAGTCATGTGAAAAATGCCTATTTTATGATTGGCTTTTTGCAAATATTAAAATGAATATTATATGTGTTATGTTAGAAAGTTATGCTGTACTAATTTTCTTAACTAGTGTGTAAATACAGTTTTAGGTTACAACATAATGGCAAAATAGAAACTATGCTATGTAAGATACTTTTCTTAAAGAAAGGACTCTCACCAAGCTAGCAGCCACAGGACACCCAAATCTTCTAGAGAAAAAGAATTCATTGCTCCATTATCAGAAGAAATTAACTTCTTCCTGCCTTGCTCAGCCCTGAAGAGCTGTCAGGATTAAGAAAGAGTTGACACTGACCAGACAGAATCATGTATGAGGGGTATGAATATGCAACAGGCTATTGTTTTTAAGGGTTAATCCTCTGTTAACGTGGGTCCTTTTTCGGGCTTATTTTGCCCAGAAAAAGGTACCCAGGCTGTCCGTAACTCTTTGTTCTTATTGTCTTGTATTGTCCTATTCTCAATTGTTCAAGTTTTTATTACTCTAATTATAGTACTATTTTATAACCATTTTATTACTATTAAACTCTTAAAATTTTAAAAACAAGTGATTGGCGTTTTTCACAGTCAGACTGCCAGCTCAGGCCCTACAAGTGGCCGTGTTCAGCTGCACCTCAGTGCTGCCAGACAACACTGCAGCGACAGGCCCGAGTTGGGAGCTGTTCCCAACAGCCCCTGAAGCTGCAAAGACGTGCTACAGCTTGAACAAACTGCAACAAACTCCAAAGGACACGAATAAAATTGCTCATTGGGAATAGTATAGAGAGAGCTAACAGAAAAACTGAAAGAAGGGACCATAAACCAGCTGGTTTCTTCACTCAGAAGCTTCTGGCTACACTTGAACACTCTTTCCCTGGACTTTTACCACCTTTTTCAAGAAATGCTTTTAAGTAAAGTGCAGTGTGGTCCATATTCCTTCACTGCTCTCCATGGAAATTTGAGAACCCTGCTGGAAATCTGCACCCCGTGAAGCTCTGCTGCCCTTCCTTTACTTCACCGGCACTTTTAGCTCAGCTCAGCCTCGCTAGCTACATTCACCCCCAGTTAATGCACAAATCTGTGAAGTTTCTATCATGAAGCTGTTTTCCAGATTAGGATCGGCTCTCCCTGCTCTTCCCCCTTCTATTTTAAAGGAAAGAGGAATTATTCTCCTGTCAAGCCAGCGAGATCCCAAGTAAAAAGAATGCATTTTATGTTTGCATATAATTAAAATGGAGTAAGATTAAGCCGCCGGAGCAGGAGCTGTGCAACGCTTACAATACAAAACTGACCATGGACCCAGCTACAAACACTATGCAAAACAACCCTAGTCTGCAAGCACTTTTAAATTAAGGCAGGAAATACTGTAGCCTATAAAAACACTCATGTGTCCACTGAGAAGACTTTCCAAGACAATAAAAAGGAACAAAGCTCTTAAAGCGCTCATCTCCAAACAAGACTATATTTATGTAAAATAATCTCCTGCCTCCGGCGGAGGGAAGCGAGTACAAGGGCAGAGCCCGGTCCCTGCCGCGGGGGTTACCTATGGCCCGGCGGGCTCCGGGAGGCTCCGGGAGGCTCCGCCCGCTCCGGGGAGCTGCAGCGGGACGGGAGCGAGAGCGGCGAGCCCTCCGAGGGGCTGGGGGAGAGCCGGCCCTCAGCGGGCGAAGGGCTCGGGCCGATGGCCCCGCCGCTCATGGCGGGGGCCACGGCGGGCACCGGCAGGGGCGGGCACCGGCGGGAGCGCTCACCGGTTACCGACAAGGGCGGTTACTGACGCCGGCAGGGCGGGCTCCGGCAGGGGCGGGCTCCGGCCGCGCTCCCGACGATCTCCGCGGCTCTGCCATGGGCGCTCCCTCACGGCCCCGCCGTGTGGTGCGGCCCTGAGGCACGGCGTGGGGAGAGCCAGCGGCTGAGAACGGCGGCCCCTGCCCCGCTGGTGGGCAGCGAGCCGAGGCCCCGCAGCGCTGGGATGTGCCGGAGCTGCCCGCCAGGGCGAGCACTGACACGCCTGTGCTGATCCGTAGCAACTCCTCGCAGCTCTTGTTCCTCAACGTTTCTGCGCACGGACCGGTGCAATAAACAGGGACCGGTAACCTCATCTGCGGATGGCAATCCTGACAGATCACAAGGAGGCATCTTAACATTCAAGCACTCTGTAATTATACTGGCATTCAATTGCAAGATCCCATTTCAATCCTCACAGTTACTATCTTGTTTCTGATTCAAAGTTCTAAAGCTTGGTTTTCATACACCTCTGCTAGGAAAATGGTGTCCTTTGCCTTCTCATCAGTTAATTTTCCACTGAGTCTACAACTATATGTAATAGATAGGTCAGATTATTTATCTATATAGATATTCCTATCCTTGTTTTTCACTACATTCTTTGTCAGCCTTCTATTTGGGTTCCAAACCCCAGGAACACTGTTCCCCTTCATTGCTTATGTTGGGCCACCCTTATCCTCCCCCCGCCTTTCAGCCAAATCTTAAGTAGGATCAGCAACAAAGATTTGCACAACCAAAGCTTTCCATTACCTTCAAATTTCATCAACCACGGATATAACTTGGTTATCTTAGCAGTTAGTAAAATTTCCAGCAGTTGGTAAAATGTTATAAAACTTTGAGTAAATTTGCTGTGGCTGACTAAGCAGAAGCATTACTGATATTCACATGAGATACAGAAGTTTGAAAATTAGTGTAAACTTTGGCTGCTGTATTAATTGTTCTTGTGGGAATTCTTCAGGTGAATTTAACAAGAAATGTATTTTTAATTGGACAGGCAAGTTGAAAAATAGGAAATAGTATTGGAAATGCTTTGTCTTAATCAGGAAAATCAATTGTGATACCTGAGGCAATTGACTTGCCATAACAATTGAATTTCAGGAGCTGAATGATACAAAAAGGTTGTCAAATCTATACACCCATTACCACCACCAAAAATGAATGCTGTGAGGGAGGAGACATCTCAATGCCATCATTAACAGTTCTAAAAGATGCCTAGAATTATCGTATTGGAAAATTTTAAGAGGGGATGTTTGGTTGGGCTGCAGACCGACAGGCACCCAAATCTGTAATTTCCTGCCAAACAGGCTGCATCTCTCCTGTCTCTCAGGAGCACTTCTCCCTCCCTCTTGCTCTTTGGAACCCTTCATTGCCACACAAAACCTTACTAAAATGGTAGTAGAAAAACATTTGGCCAAACAATGTGTGGTCTGAGCAAGATAAAGCTCAAGGTGCATAAGACAACTGCTGAGGCCAAAACCAGGAACACAGGGACCAGGAACACAGCCACAGACTCAGAGGGAGAGGCAGAGGTGGAAGGGATTTGGGATTTCCCCCTTCAGCTGTGGAGCTTCTGCATTTGGCTTACCATTTCACAAGGAACTGCACTTTTAACAGGCTGGAGAAATAACATTATGGGTCCTGTAAGAAAAGAACGCAGTTATTGCATTGCTGATAATCATACAGAACTGTTTTCTAGCAAGCTGAAAAACACAAAAAAAGGCCTGAATACATCTCTGATCTAAGCACCCCCAGAATATTGAATACATCACTATGCACCAAACTGATGTGCATGATGCTTAAATAACTCCATCCAGTTGTGGCAGATTGTTGATTGCTATTTTATGATTATCATCAAATAAAGAATTAAGTATGATTAGCCAAAGTATCTCACAAACTAATTATACCCGTTGAAATAATTTGATGATTCAAGTATTGCAGACAACTAGAATCTAAATTTCATGCCAAGTTACAACAAGAATATTTGAAATTGGTCTGAATTCTTAGGATACAAGTTACACAATCCAATGCCTCAGGTTTGTTCAACACAAACCACCTGTGGTTTTACAGGCACTTTTGTATATGTGCTGCATTCAGCTGAGAAATAAAAGCAGCATAAAAGTTGTCCATTCCATGGCTACCCAAGCACTGTGAGCAAAGCTCCATGTCATGGCAAGCAGGAAAACCTCAGCTATTTCAACAGCCTGCAGACCAAGGTAATTTAAAAACATCTCATGAAGGTCTGAAAACCTTCCCTGACGTTAAAGCCCATCTCACAGTGAAGAGTGGCAACAATCATAAATGAACACGAAAAATGAAAAGCCCGCTGTTGTCTCAGTGAATTGAGGAATTGTGGAACTCACTGCACTGGGCATCTCTCACTTCCAATGGAGACCTACATCACCTGGAATGGCCAGAAACTCTGAAATGGATGTCTCAAGGAGAGGCAGCAGCAATTTTGCCAAAAACAAGCATTTCAGCTTGTCAATTCCCTTCCAATCCTGTTATACAGAATATGAGAATTTCTCGGGATGCCAGAGCAGGTATTTGGGAAAATAGCTTATATTAACATAAAAAACCTTAACATTGGGACAAGCTAGTGGAGTTTATGCACTGAGAGTGCCCACAGGGAGGGTGGCAAAAGCCAGTTCACCCTTTGGGGAATTAAAGCATTGCTGCTGGAATGGCAGAAGCACTCCAGCTTTGAAGAGATGGGAAAGCATAATATTGTTACTATCCCACTTACCATTGTGCCCAGCTTGTCAAGCCAGCTCCACAGCCACTGTGCCCTAGTTAACACAGGAAAGGTATGAGCCCAAACAATGCAATTTGGTTAAAAAGCATTGAAACAACAATCCTGCAGGTTCACTACACAACTTCTATGGCCACAGAAGGACTCACAAGATAAATGGCATGCTGCAAAGATGGCAAATCCCCAATTCTGTGAACTGAATGCCAGAAGCAGCTGCCCTGGCAAGAATTACATGCCAACACTGCTAAAACTCACAGGCAAAATCAAACTGCCACAATGAAGCACGGAAGTTGCCACAAACAACTGAATGAAGTGAATAAATACACACACACACCCCTATGGTTGATACCAGTGTGCAAAATCATCGTAATTTTTCACTAAAGAAACTACAAAAACTACATTCAGTCTTTCACTGCTAGCTCACTGTCACAGACTATAGAATAAGCACTTAGAGCTATCTAGCAACAGTGAGAAAATTCAGAGTAAAAATAGCATGATGTGTTCACAGACCTATACTTTCTGTCTGCATGCTCATGCCAATCAGTGTGTCTGAACAACCAAATGCTTGTGACAGATTTCTCAAAGTATTCCCCAATAGCCACCCAAAGTATTTAAAAAAGCATTTTACACATAAAATATCAAGAAAGCAAATTCATATGTAACAGACATAGAAAAGATTTATATTCTAGACACAAATCAACTACTCTGAATCACTAAGCACTTTCATTTGCCAACTCTTGTTTATGAAATTGTTCCATTTTAGAAATTGGACTGTAATCTGATGAAGTCAGTCTCTGAAAACACTAGAGCCAGCAGAAGGAAACTTCTCAGTTCAACTTGATGAACACTAGCCAGGTTTAATGAAAAGAAGGGGATCAGATTGCTTGTAGATGTCATGTCTAATTCCCCACTAGACATTAAGGAACACAGAAGCATAAAAATAATCAAAAGGGAAAAAAAGCTTGAAGAAAATACTTTCACTTGCAACCTTGAAGAGCAGAAAATTTGAACCAAATATAGTTGAATTTAAATCCCCTTAAGTCTTGAGATTTTCCAGCATAAGGAAAAATACTGTGGCAGGCACAGGAGCAAGGGAGAAAGCTACTTGGCTCACCCTCCATGTCAGAGCTCAAGAACACTGCCTGTACTTGTCTGCTGGCTATTTTTGTGCCTGGATGTGTAGTTCTGCTTGATTAGAGGCTGTGAAACCTGAGAGGTCCTGGATTGCTTCACTTTCCTTCATGGTATGATATATTCTCTTCCTTGCAGTGCACTGCACACATGGCCAGTCCCAGCCCAGGTTCTGCTGCCTGCAGATGTGGAAGGCTCTGCTTTAGAGGGACAGGGCCTCCAGACAGGAATTCCTTTTCTCTGGGGGAATGTGCAAGGGCTCTATGCAACACATTTAGGTTAAAATCACATCTTTGTGAATCACCAGCAGGATTCCCACTCAACCCAGCTGTTTTATGCTAGCTGGAGACCACAGCCCTCCTGCTTTTGAACAGCCTTCACTTCTTTAGCTAGAAAATAGTTCTGCATAAAGTCTTTCTCTCTTTTAAAAAGCATCAGCTACTAACAGATTTTCCTGCTGATTTTTGGGCTGGAATTTTCAGAACACAGGTTATGCTTTTGTTACTGGAAACCAGTGAGGCACTTCATATTTTGTTACCCTCCAATCAAAATTAATTCCCTATAGCAAACACCACAGTATTTCTTATGGAAAACCTTCACTGTTACTTTATACTGGAGTATGAAATATGTCCATTCACCTTCCAAGTTCTTACAGAAAACAGCAATCTGTACAGTGATACATTATCCCATTTCACTTCCTCACTTATGGAATCATCTTCAATTGAACTCAAGTGTTAAATCAGACTCTACAGTACAAGATGTGAAAGGTAATATTGAAAAAAAACTCCTAAAAAATTAACTTGTGCTAACAGTAAAAGATCAAAAGCATTTATGTAATTAAAAATTGAGAACACATATAAAACAAACTGTGCATTGTGCTTTTAATTAAAAATATTGCCCTGTAAATTGAAACTGAAGGCCTAAAAATAGTTATCAAAGTGAAAAGAATTACTGAAGTATCTTTTTGTAAGATTGAAATTTCCGAGTAAATTCATAAATAAACAGGAAATTCTACAGGAAAGAAATTTTAAAAGGCAAAAGGCATC